CCCCCGCCCCCCCCCATGCTCACCGCCAGCAAACGACTCCCGGTCCATGCCACCGTCCGCACCACATCCCCCGCTGCTGTCCCCAGCACCACTGTCCTCACCACCGCTGTCCCCGCTGGTTCTACCACTGTCCCTACTGTCCCCACCAGTGCCCCCGCCACTGTCGCGCTGTCCCCGCTGTCCCCACTGTTCCCACCACGGTTCTACTCTCCCCCACTTTCTCCGCGGCCCCATCCACGGCCCGACTGTCCCCGCTGTCCCCGCTGTCCCACTGTCTCCTCCGCTGTCCCACTGAGCTGTCCCGCTGTTCCCGCCGCTGTCCCCGCTGGCCCCACCACTGTCCCCGCTGTACCTCTGTCCCATTGTCCCGCCGCCGTCCTCGCCACCGCCCCGCCACTGTCCCCACCACCTCTGTACCCTCCACTGTCCCACTGTATCCACCACATTCCCACTGTCCCCACCACTGTCCCCACCACCACCGTCCCCACCACTGTCCCACTGTCCCCGCTGTTCCCACCATTGTCCACCACCGTCCCCGCCGCTGTCCCACTGTCCCCACTGTTCCCAGCATTGTCCCCGGTGTCCCCACCAGTGCCTCCAGCAGTGTGTAAACGTCCCCGCTCTCCCCAGCGCGGCGGCGAAGGGGGGCGGGTTCGAACCGGTAGTGGCGCCCCCCTGGTTTTCGATGGGGGGGAGGGGGGGGGTTCGAACCGGTAGCAGCCCCCTCCGGTTTTTCCGGAGGGGAGGGGGGGGGGTTCGAACCGGCCTTGACCCCTCCTTTTCATGATTGACTGGGGCCCCAAACCCTACAATGACCCTGCAAAGACCCAGCATTGACCCTGCAAACACCCTGCAATGTCCAACCTCCTTCCTACCCTGCTTGGGAGGTTGACCTCCCCCCTCCCTGGGCGTGACTCATAGCAGCGTCCAAGATGGTCCAAGACGGCTCCAAAAGGTCCGACGTCTTGCTCAACGCCGCGTTCGCGGTAACGACCGTCAGTGCCCCCGACAGCCTTGGAGCCGCGCTCGGCAGGCGATTCCCGTGTAACCCAAGCCCTTGGTGTCGGCCAGCGACTATCTCGGCCCTGGAGCTGATTGCAGCGGCCGGGCGCGCGGGCGCGGCGGTCCGCGACCCCGAAAACCTTGGCGCGCCCAGAGAAGGACTGGGGCGTCGCGAAAAAAACTCCAGCCGGGGACGTCGACGCGCTGAACAAGCTGCCTCGTGGGCAGATCCGGTGGGGGCCCCTCCTCGGCGAGACGCTTGGCGAGTGCGCCAGGCGGCTCCAGCATGGGCTTGGGTCCTCTTTCGCCAATGGTTGGCGCAATATCTGCGGGGCGCAAGGCGCGGGCAAGCAGCGCGCCACCTTCCGCCCTGGGGGGCGGGCGGCTGTCCAATGCTTGGTCTTTCTCCGCGGGCTCGCGGCCGCAGAACACGACGGTAGTGGTGTGCGCCGAACGAGAGGGCGTCGTGCTGCCGCGGGGCCAGCGCGGGCGGCTGCGCGAGGCTACGGCTGGAGCCCGTTGTCCCTGGTCGCATCCGCTTCGCACCTGGATCTGGTACCTAGGTCGCCTTGCGCGCTCCGCCGCGACCTGCGCCGTGTTGTCTCGTTCATGCCTGGTCTTCTCTAAACGGCTTTGGCTTTTCGCCCCCCTGGTTCTTTTCCGCCCTGGTGCCCCGTCGCTGTTCGCCCTTCCCCATGCCGCGTTGCGGGGGTCGCGGATCAAAGGGCTGTGCTCTCAGAGCGGCGGCTGCTTGAATAAGGGCCGCAATGCGCCTGGGGTTTTCGTTCCCGCGCATCGCGCCCGACTCCCGCGCTGCTCCGGCTTTTCGCCGCCCCGGTGCTCAATTTTTGGTCGCTCCCCCCCTGGCCATGTGCAAGGTGCCCTTGTTCACCCTGTCTTGCTCAATTGCTGATCGCCTCTCCCGTTGCCGCGTGCAGGGGGGCCCCTGGATCACCTGGGCTGCGCTTTAATGGCCTGCGTGCTTGCGTCCGCGGACCAAAACAATCCCGCTCCTCTGGGGGTTCGCCGCCCCGAGACTCGCCGCGGGTCGGCTTGTCAGATGGAGCCAGTTCCCGCCCAGCCGCGGACGACTGGTTCATGGTGGCGCGGTGGAACACGGGCGCTCCAGATCCCCCCCTGGCCGCGCAACGCAAGTTCGCGGGCGCTCTTGTCGCGGTCCTGGAGAGGGGGGTCCTGGAGCAGTTGAAGCCGCCCGGTCGACCTTTGGCAGCCAGGCGCCCCGGCGGACCCCCCACAGTGGCCGAGCCTTCCTCGGCAGCCTGCAGGGCATATTTTTGTGCTCCTCCTGAACGGCGTGCTCCTCCGTGGCAGCGTGCCCCTCTTGACCTGTGCCTGCTCCTCCTGAGCTGCCTCCCCGAATGTCGCCGGGGCTGGCGCCGATCCAGCGACAGCGGCAGTCGACGTCGCGTGGGCTGGGGTCGCGGCCCCCCCTGGCGCCGAGGCTATTGAGTCACGCGGTTACCCACTGGCGGAACAATACAAATAAGCGCACCACCCATCCAGCGCCTCTCGCCCTGCAATGGCAATGAGAGGAGAGAAGCAAGACGGACAAAGAGAACATATAAGGACGAACTGATCACACACACACGCACACACCTGCCAACTCTCCATTTTTCCAGAGCGGCCTGCTGCGCTGGCCGAACAGCTGCGTTGAAGACTGGTTCCAGCACGCGTGCACCGCGCCCTGTTTTTGTCAACCCCATGACAACAATACCCCATATTTGTGACATGGCAGGCCTGTCGAGGGCTGGTCTGGAGGGGCGATGCACGACAGCCTGCGACCAACAAAAACAGTGACAATGTAGAAAGCTCACATCACGCTGGATGACCATGCTCAAGGCAACGCGCAGCTTGCCTGGGGGAGTGGGGCCCAGGCGAAGGCTTCTCGACAAGAAAGGCTGTGAGAACTTCGATCCCGCGCGACGCAGGGTACCGGCCTTCTCATGCCGGCGCACGCTCTCGCGAGCCTTCCAGCGGCCTCGGCGCTGAATCCTGCGCAGATCCTCAAACTTCTCCAATGCGTCACGGCTAGCGCCACCATGACGAGGGCAATATGGCGTGAAGGCCACGGCCAGCTGCAAGCAGCGGCAGGCCATCTTCGCGATCGTCCCGAGCTGCGCCAGCGTGAGCCCGCCGAACAGCAGCCCTTGGCCCGCCCGCGCCAGCAGGACATCTAGGACGTTGCCGACGAAGCCTTGGCCCTTGGCGGCGTTGCTCAGGAAGACGGTGTCATCGAACGTGTTGGTCTCCGACGGGTCTGGCTGAGTCGCAGGTGCCACCGTCGCGGCCCACGGCCTCTGGGGGCCCGAGCGCGACGGCCGCAGGGCGTCGGCACCTCGTGAGCCCAGCGCCTCGGACGGCCGGAGGTGGCCGTCGAAGGCCACGGGCAGCAAAGCCCCCGCCATCGTCGGATGGAAGTCGCGGCCGATGAGATCATCCGCCGGTGAGCGTTGGCCTTGGCCTCGCCGCCCAGGAAGAGCGTAGCGCTCCAGGGTGGTGTCCGCCGCGCCTGCGTCGGCGAGGCTGCCGCCGCTGCGAGCGATGAAGTCGTTGAGCTCCTCCGCGCAAGCCGAGTAGCGCGCCGCCGTCGCCTGCCGTGCGGTCGCCCGCCGCAGGAAACCAGACGCCTGCTCCCGCGGCTGAGCCCGCGCCCGCCTGGCGCGGCCGCCTGCCCTAGTCCCAGCGCCTTCGGCGGCCATACCAAAGCGGCCGGTGCCTGAGCGGGCAGCGCGGGGCGCCGACCCCAGCGGCGTCGCAGCCGCCCGCGGCCGCCAGCTGTCGCTCCCAGCGGCGCTCGAGCTCTGCCCCTCTGCCTGGTCGTGCTGCTGCCGGGGGCGCCAGGGGCCGGGCGACGCCGGCGTCGGCGCGGCGCGGGCTCGGCGGGCAGGCGGCAGCGAGGCTGGTCTTCCACTCGCAGCGGCCCTTCACGACGACCTTCCCCTGCAGCACCTCGCAATGCCGCCGACGCTTGCCCTCTCGGCCCAGCGCGGGGAACAGCGGGTGGGATGCAGCTATCCTCGTCGGCTTCTGGAACGGCGTCGCGAAGCGGCGCTGGCACAGGTCGACGAGGGTCGCCGCTGCCGACCTGAGCGCTCTCGCCAGGGGTCTCCAAGTCCGAGACGCAAGCGCTGGGGTTCTCGAAGTTAAAATAGGCCCCCGCTCGCCGGCGCTCCTGGATCAGGCGCACCGTGATTTGCGCCGCCGACCACCGAGTGCACGGGGTCGCTATATGCATGAGCCAAACAGCGCTGGAGCGGATTCATCGGATGACCACCTTCTGGACCTTCGGGTCCGTGGTATCGAAATGAAGGCCCTTCTTGAAGTCCATGGGGGCCCCCGCGCGCAGCCCCGCCTCGGGGGTGCCCCCAGTCGAGCGCCCCTCGCCCGAGACGACGTCCAGGAAGAAGCGTCGGCCCCGACGAGACCTCTGACCCACTTGACCTCCAAGACGCGCGAGGGCGGGAGAGGGATACAGACCTGGTGGTAGACGAAGCCCTGGAGAATGTCCTGTGGCATGGTGAGCTTGAGATCCCTGAGGCCCCTGAGATCTGGGCGAAGAGCGCCCTGGAGAGGTCCCGTTGGGGTCTCGAGGTCCCGAGCTGGACATGGGGGTCGCGGTGGGCTCGTAGAACGTGGAGCTGTAGCCGCAGACGCCGAAAGCTCGGACACTGTAGTCCTCTGTGACTCCGAAGCTGTTGAAGAGGGAGACCTCGAGGAGGGCTCGGGGAGACCTGCTGGGGGCTTCGGGTGGTCGCTGCTGCCGTCTCGCGCCGCCTTCTTTTTAAAACCAAAGGCGGAAAGGCGGTCGGGGGGGCGCCCGGGCGGAAGGCGACCCCGCGGCCCGCGCTAGACCTGGCCAGGCTGGAGCACCCCCCGGTCCGCGGCCCTGCTCATATAGTCCGCCGCGTTCCGCGCCCCCTCGACGTGGCGCTGCCGCCGCGCGATGCCTGCTGCCAGCTTCAGCGCGGCCGCCCGTCGGTGAGCTCCCCGTTCGCCGCGCGGCCCTCCTCGAAGGCCAGGGCGGAGCCCATGCTGTCCCCCGCGGAAAGCAGCTCCGCGTCGTGGTACGGGGGGTAGCTGGCCGCCCGCGCCAGGCCCATCAGCCCGCAGCGCGCCTCGTAGTCTTGTATGCGGCTCGCATCTCGCCAAGCTCCTGCCACGACCAACTCCCGGCGCGTCGGGTCCGCGAAATTATCGGGCAGGGGCGGCGGTCGCCACCCCGAGTCGACCTCGACCCGACAGCGCTCTGGCACAGGGCCACGCGGCCTGGCCCGCTCGAGCTGGCCATCCCGCCAGCCCTCGCTAGCGTCGCCGATCGCCAGGGAGCCCTTGAAGCCGTCGTGCTCCCGCTCCACGAACCTCTCGCGTCTGCTGCAGCAAGCTCGCTCTCGGCGTCGGCAGAATTCGTGGACCTCGTCGGGCGTCGTGTCGGTCTCCAGGGGCGCGTAGCCCTTCATGGGAGCGTTTGTCATGAACGCGACGGGGTAGGGCGGCAGCCCCCAGCGGCCCACTGCCATGACAAGGAGCGACCTGGCTACCCTCAGTTCGTGCAACGCGGCCGTCGGCAGCTCCCTGATCTCACCGAGGTCCTGCTGGGCGAAGTCTCGCAGGACGCGGAAGACGGGGGGCCCCAACCCCAGCAGCTGGAAGAAAGAGACCAGGTGGCCCAGGACAGCGCGTATCTGCCAGCCCGCAGCCTTCCGCCACTTCAGGAGGAAGGTCAGGCCGCCGCACAGTCGCCATATACGTTTTTGGCATGGGCCGAAACAAGCCCTGCGCGCCGTCGACGATAGCGCCCAGGATCGCCACCTCAGCGCCCGCGTCCTGCCTCTCGTGCCACTTCAGCCCCGGCAGGTCGAAGACCGCTGTCATGCGCTCGAGCCTGGCCTGCGCGAGGTCGCGCTCGACCCTGATGATGTTGGCGTTGTCGACGTGCGGGGGGTCCCCCACCATGCCCTGCTCCAAGCGCGCCGCCAGCACCTTGTCCAGCGCCATGGCGTCGCGGGTGCCCGCAGGGGACCTCGTCGCGCGGGCCGGCGTCTCGTGGCAGATCCAGAGAGCCCAGGGCCAGCCCGTCGCCGGCCCGCCGTTGGCCGGCCACGCGTAGTCGTCGGGGGCAGCCTCGACAAAGGAGCCCACGTCGCCGTCGTAGACCTGCTGCGCGCCAAGGTCCATCGCGCGGGCGCCCGGCACGTCGAACACGAACCGCTCGGACAGATGCGGGATCTTGAGCTGGTGGAAGCCGTCCTTTAAGTCGGCCGTGGCTGCGCGCAGGGCGGCGTCGTTCGAGCTCGCCGAGTAGCGTCGGCGCCAATCTGCCCCGATCTGCTCCGACGCGAGAACCTCCACCGATGCCATGCTTGTCTGAGGAGGCAGCCTGTGGAACTGGTTGGGCTGCCAGCGATCGCGCGGAGGCGGTCGCCCTTCTTCTCGACGAAGAACAAGCCCGCAATCGCCTTCTTCTGGCGGGTGGCTGCCACGGTCCCCACGTCGGCCAGGCGCCGCAGCTGCGCGAGCAAGCGCGGGTGGTTGGCGCGGACCCTCGGGTTCAGGAGGGGGTCACAGTATGGCTCGATATGGGGCTCGTCCATGAGCTCGTCGGAGTGGCGTTCCAGGAACCTCTCGGGCTCAATCAAAACTTGCCGAACGTGATCGGGGACGAGGTCGAACGCCTCCCGAGGCTCCACCGAGCCCTGCAAGAGGGGGGCCTTTTCCTGGACGAAGGCCTCGCGGTGAGGCGGCCCTCCTCGGAGTAGATGTTGCTGGGCTTGAGAAGCTCCTGAAAAGGCCTCTCTTGGCCAGGCGTCGGGCGGCGGCGGGCCATGTCGAGCCGCCGATCGAATCGCCCGGCCCAGCGCGGACTCCTGCGAAAGGGTTAGCGTGGATGTCTGACGCGCCGCCCAGGTCGGAGGGCGCGCGGCGCTCGCGCGGCAGCCGGGGCGCTCAGGCTCGAGAAGATGTCCTCGGTCGCCCATCGCGTCCAGCCCCGCTTCGCACGTCGGCGAGCGGAACAGCGGCCTGCCGGTCGCTCTCGGCTGGCCTCCTCGAAGTCGGAGGGCAGCGCCAGGGGGCAGGGGTCGGGCGCGCGACGAAACCTTCGGGACAAAACTGGGTGCAAAACTGCGGCAGCCGCCGAGCAGGTCGTTGGCCGCCGGGGGCCCTGCCTCCAGGATGGAGGCGGGGTAGAGCGGGCTGCCCCGCTCCAGGCAACTCCTTGTTGCCGCCACCCCCGCCGCCTCCGCCGGCAGACCGCTTGTCTTCGGCGTCCCTCTCCTCCGTGTAGACCCTTGTGTTCTTCGTGGTGACCACCTTCGTCTTCTGCTCCTGCGCGACCCGCTCGTCGAACTTGCGGTTGGCCGCCCCTCCCGTCTCGTCCAGCGCCGAGGCCGAAGTGCCCTCTAGGCTGGAGTAGTCGGGGTGCTTGGGATTCCGACGAATGGCCCGCTGCATCTGCGCGATCCTCCTCGCGATGAGCTCGGCCCTTGCGAGGTTCGTGACGTCGACTTGGTCGTGCTCGATGAAGCGCCGCAACGCCTCGAACAGGGGCCGAATCGCGTGGGCCGCCGCGCTGCTGGGCGGCATCCCGCTGCTCGTGGTGTAGTGGTTCGCGTGGCCAGCGATCCCCGGGCTGAGGCCCGCGCGCCGGTCAGGAACTCTGGCGGCGACTTCAGCCCGCGGAACGCCCGGTCGCTGGCGTCCTGCGGGCGGCGCGGCTCGATGGCCCGGCCCAGCGTGGCCCGCCGCGGCCCGCCTGGGCCAATCCGCCGGACAGGGCGCGCCCGAGGGTCCCGGCCCGGCCCCGAGTGCTGATCGCCCAGCCACTGCTGGTGGCGCTCCTCCAGCGCGTTCTCGCAGACTCCCTCGTCGTCGTCGACGTCCAGCTTCGCCAGCGCCACGCCCCGTGTTGTGCGAAGCGATACTCGGCGCCGCTGACCGCCGCGTCGTGGGCCTGCCCGAACTGCGGATGAGCGGCGTCGGCGACCGCCCGGAGAGGCGGGGCCGCCGCTGCGCCGCGAGGCACCTCGATGCCCAGCGCCGCTGCCAGCGCCGCCGCCTGCTCCCAGACGGCCTCGAGCTCGCCCTCCTCGAACGGGTCGAAGGCGCGCAGCTGGCCCGCCGGGCGTCGAAGGAACGGCGCGTTCCTCCGGGGCGGCGCGACGAGATGCGTCGTGAAGTCCCCGAACTGCTCGCCGTGGTCCAGGGTGGCCCAGATCCAACTGCTGGCGCCCGCCGGCACGAGGAGGGCCCGAACGTGGAATTTGAACCCGTTCGGGTCGTCGAAGAAGTCGATCGCCACTAGGGCCTCGGGGATGTCGAGGCTCCACGCCATCGGCATCGGCGGCGCCTAGCCTGCAAGGTGGCGGGCGTGGCTGCCAGCTTCGCCTCGCCCTCGGAGACCGTCCACGGCCGGGCCCCCCCCGTGTCCAGCGGGCAGCCGCTGCCGTCGCCGGCTGGCGCAGCCTCCAGGCCAGCTTAGCCAGAGCGGCGGCCAAAGCGCCGATCGCCGCGCCTGCGGCGAAGGCCCCCGGCGCCGGCCCGGGCGCGGGGCAGCGCAGCTCGGGGCAGCTGGGGCAGACCGGGCAGGTCACCTGCTCCGGGCCGCACCGGCCGAGCTGCCTGCCCAGCAACCCGACGATCTCCGTCGGCGTCGAGCAGTCTGCCACGCAGCTGCAATCGGGGCACCGCGGAGGGAGGAGATAGGGCGCGAGCGCGGCCACTGCCTGGAGCCCCCGGATTGCCCAGTCCATCCCCTCGCCAGAACTCCTTGAGCCGCAGGGGGCCGCGGCAGACGCAGGCATGGGCACATGGGCCACCCAGGCCCTTCTTTTTCTACCGCTCTGAGAGGCTCCTTGAAGGACACATCGCTCCGCGCTGTCAGTCCAACCGTTCCATGCAAGACGCGAGCGGAGACATGTGTCCTCCTCCTCCTTCCGTCACATTTCCTATTTTCCGTGCTGGCCTTATCTGCGAACCCTCCCCCGTCCTTCTCATTACTTTTGCGGACGCTCATCCTTGGAAATTCCCTTGGTGGCCGCATGACGCATTTTTAATGCTTTCTTCTGGGTTCTGGGGGTTTCCTGGGGGCGCTTGGGGTGCTTCCTCAAGCCACCTTGCTGCAAACCACGGTCTGCCTCTCGACGGCTCGGTCACAATCTGGAAAGCTCCGGGGGGCGTCTTGGGGTCATCTTGGATCGTTATGGGGTTCTTCGGGCCATCTTGGGGCACTGTTCGGCCGTCTTGGGGCTCTCTTCGAATGCCTCTAAGCCCTTTCGGATGTTTTGCTACGATCTTGGGAGACGTTGCGGCCGGAAGATAGGAAAACCAAGTATCCCAAAGCCACACAAGAACCATTGCATGTGGAATACATCTTAAACGTCCTGAATACCGTCATCGGGCGTGTGGTGGGTCTTGGGCCGCTTGGGGCTCTCGCGGGTCCGTTTGGCCACCGTTTTGTCCGTTTTGGACCCGCTGGCTAGCAAAGGCGTCCATGAAGTCCGGAAATGCCGGGGGGCCCTTTGCAAGGGCGTCCAAGAAGTCCCTGGGGCAACGGACCCGGGGGGCTGGCTTGGGGGTTGGTTTTCCCCTCGATTTGTATACACGTATGACTTGGAATACGTCGACCTCTCCATCTCACATTTTCATATAACATGCAAGCAATTATACATACATCTGTATATGTATAACCATATGACACATATTATAAACAACTGTATGTGCATGTACATGTGCATGCATATACATGTTTGCGTACACATGTATGTATACATGTTTGTATGCATATATCCGCCACCGTGCCCTTGAGGCACGAGTTGGAGTGGTCTCAGGTCCTCTGCCTAATCCCTGAGACCTCAGTCCCCAATCCTGACGGTTCGTCAGAAGGGCCCATACCAAAAATTGTAAAAATTCTTGAGGCGCGCCGAGTGGCCCCTGGGGGTCGTCGCATCTTCTCGCGTGACTTTTTCTGTCCCAGGAACGCTTCCAGAAGGGCTAACAAGGCCCCAAGACGCCCCCAGGACGGTCGAAGAGGGCCCAGGGACGCCGAATCATCGCTCCAAGACGCCCAAGATGGCATCAAGACGGCCGAAGATGCCCCGAAGACGCTCGACGAGGCCTCCAGGAGGCCTCCCAGGAGGACCCAAGACGAACACAAATCATTCATGTTACAATCTTTTGTTTGAAGGGTTTTAGCGTTCTCGCCTTTTCTGCTTACCGGCGCTCCAGGACGGCCCAAGCAGCGCCCAAACTCGCCCCAACACGGCCCCAAATGCCTCCAAGAGGGCCCCAAACCAGCCCAAGAGAGCCTCCAAACGGTCCAAGCGGCACCCAAAACGGCCCAAGAAGCTCCCAAGACGGTTCGATCCGAACCGGCATTTCGAGCTCTCGGCCTCGACAGGCCTCCAGGAGGCCCTAAGAGGTCCCCGAGAGGCCGCCAACAGGCCGCCAAGAGGCCCCAAACCCCAAGGAGCCCCCAAAAGCTCCCAAAATGCCCGCCCCAAAATGCCCAATGGCTTCAAAACTGCCCCCCAGAGGCCCCCGGGAGCGTTCCGAAGAGACCCTACGAAGCATCCCTGAGGTCTCTTACCCACAACCCAGGCCCGGTGGCGGCATGGGCCGACGGGCATATTCTTATTATTGTTGTTATGATTTGCGGCGATTTCAGGGGTGTCAGGTGCAATGTAGTCCAACCCTGGCTGACACATTAGGGTCCTGCGTGGTAGCATGATGTTGTAGCAGAGAGGCTTGTGCAGCGCAGTGTACAGCAGCACGAGCAGCAGCAGCTAGCAGCATGAAGACTGGTGATCTGTCGGTGATGCTTTGGCTCAAGTCAAAAGGATGTTTCAATCCGTTCGGCTGACGCCCACTCCGCGCATGGTAGCCTGGAGCTGTGGTTGACACGATCGACGAGCTGTGGTTGACACGATCGACGAGCTGTGGTCGACACGATAGAGAGCGTGGCAGTGAACACGATAGAGGTCGTGGTCGACACGATAGAGAGTGGAGTGAACACGATAGAGGTCGTGGACACGATAGAGAGTGTTGTGAACACGATAGAGATCGTGGACACGATAGAGAGTGATGGAGGCGCTGACGCAGAGGCTGGCCCAGCTCGAAGAGCAACAGCGGCAGCAGCGTACGGTGATTGAGACTCAGCAGGCGCAGCTCACGGCGGCACAGAATGAGCTGGCAGCAGTGCGGGCCACAGGCAACGGCGCAGCAGCTCAGCAGCCACCAGGAGAAGCACGAGCTGGCGCACCGATCTCGTTGGTGGACCTGCGAGTTGGCAACAAGCCCGAGGTCTTCACGGGAGACGCTAAGGAGTGGAAGAACTGGTCGTTCAAGATGCGTCAGTACCTGTCGGCGCTAGACGAGACGCTGCATGCGGAGGTGCTCGACGTGGATGCGAACCCGTCGAGGGAGCTCACGATGAACGACATGGCCGCCGAAGCCCAGAGGAGAGCCAGGCAGCTGGCGTTCATCCTCACCATGCACACGAAGGACGTGGCGCTGCAGATGGTCACGAAGCTGCCAGACCCCAGCAACGGCTACGAGATCTGGCGGAGGTTCCTGGAGGAGTTCGAGCCGGCCCACAAGGGCCGCTTCAGGGCGATGCTGATGCAGATCCTCCAGTACCAGTTCACGGGTGACCGCGGCCTTGCCATCGAGGAGTTCGAGAGGCTCGTCAGGCAGTACGAGGCGCAGTCTGGCGACATCCTCCAGGAGACCATCAAGGCGGCGGTGATCTCGAACAACCCTGAGGACCCTGAGTGGAGGAGGCACGTCGGCCTCAACGCGACGAGACTGCAGGACTACACGTCGCTGAAGGACGAATGGAAGGCGGTGCACCAAGCGGAGAGGCGTTGGGGTGTCGATGGCGACTCGGCCCCCATGGAGGTGGACGCGCTTACCTCGAAGGGCAAGGGCAAGGATGGCGGCAAAGGCAAGGGTAAGGATGGCGGCAGAGGCAAAGGCAAAGGAGATGGCAAGGGTAAGGACGGCGGCAGAGGTAAAGGCAAGGGAGATGGCAAAGACAAGAACAAAGCCGAGGCCAGCAAGAAGGAGAGGAAGTGTTTCTTCTGCAGAGAGAAGGGCCACGAGCGCAAGGACTGCCCGAAGTTCACCACGTGGCTCGAGGAGAAGAAGAAGGCAGGACACGCTGGAGGCTCGGGGTCGGCCGCGGCGGTCAACACGGTGCAGCAGGACGACGGCTGGGTGTTCATGGTTGACGAGGAGTTCGAGGGCGACGAGCTGTGCGAACTCATCATGGTCGACTCAGGCGCCTCGGCAAACGTATGTCCTCGAGATCACGTGTCGGAGAACGGCCTGCGAGAGGAAGCACATCCGAGGCGCATGACAACGGCGACTGGCGAGCTGATTGCGCAGCATGGGCGACGTCGGGTTTCATATGAGACGGAGTTCGGTAAGATCACGACGGACTACAGGGTGCTAGACGTGAAGAGGCCGATCTGGTCGCTGGGTGCGATGATCGAGTCGGGGTGCGACGCCTACTTCACGAAGAGCAAGTCGTGGATCGTCAAAGATGGCAAGGAGTTGGAGCTGATCAGGAAGGGCAACTTGTTCTACGCGATCGCTCGGCCTTCGAAGATCGGAGGCTCGAACGCGCTGGAGCTCAACCCTTTGACGCAGGCGGAGATCGAGCAGAGAGCGCTGGCCAGAGAGCACGCGGCGTTCGGGGCGGCTGGACCAGCAGCCGAGGCCACGCTTGCAGAAGATGGAGATCCAGCAGTTCGCATCAAAGTGCCGACAGGACCCGCCACGCCGACGGCAGAGGAACGGGCTCAACATGAGTCCGCGGGGCACGTACCCTACAGGAGCTGGTGCAGCCACTGCGTGGCGGCGAGGGCGGCGGACAAACCTCATCGACGAAGCGAGGACCCGACAGGCTTGAGCGCAGAGGAGGCAGCGATCCCACGCATCGAGTTTGACTTCGCGGAGATCGGACGAGAATCGGATGCAAGCCCAGGCATTCCGTCCCTCAACGGGGTGGACGTCGGGTCGGAGAGCTTGTCGGCGACTCTGTGCCCCAGCAAGGCCTTCAGCGAGTACCTGGTGGAGACGATCCTGGCGTTCGTGGACGCGCTGGGTCACAACGCGGTGCTGCTTCACTCGGACCAGGAGCCAGTGCTAGTGCAGTTGCTGAAGGCGGTGCAGAGCAAGAGGGTGAAGCGGACTCTGGTCAGGCATGGGCCTAGAGGCAGCCACCAGAGCCAGGGCAAGATAGAGGGCGCGAACAGGGTCATCAACGGCGTCCTGAGAGCGATCTGGATCAACATGGAGGAGCACATGGGCGAGAAGGTGTCGACCGACAGCATCCTGATCGCCTGGGGGGTCAGGCACGCGGCATGGAGCTTGACGAGGTTCCAGGTGAAGAGCGACGGCCGTACCCCCTACGTGCGGATCTTCGGCAAGGCTTACGGCGGGGAGGTGCTTCCCTTCGGCGAGCGCGTGATGTACAAGTACACGGCGGTGCCCACCGGCAACCTGGACCAGAAGTGGGCGCACGGGGTGTGGGTCGGCAAGGCACCGCTGACGGATGAACACCTCGTCCTGACCGTGGACGGCGTGAAGAAAGCAAGATCGGTACATCGACTGCCAGTCGACGAGCGGTACGTAAAGGAGGAGCTGGCGAAGGTGAAGGGTCTGCCGTGGAACGGCACGGCATCGGATCTGAAGGCGCCGATCGTGTCGCAGCAGGACCAGGGGCCATCAGGGCACAGGAGGCTCTACCTGACGAGGGCGATCGTGCAGAAGTACGGGCCTACACCTGGGTGCTCGGGCT